CCGGGGAAGCCGTTTAAACTCCCTACTACAGAGAACTCTATTCAAGGTAACATACATAAATTACATGAAAAGCAACATTTTGTGTGTAGTATTTTTTTTTATTTGTATGAATAGCAATCAAAATGTATTGCATTTTTTTTTAAATAATGTATATTTTTGTGATTATCATGACAGTGAATTATTATGCAAGTATACGGGTCATAGTGCTATATTTGAGAAAGTTCTACTGCTGTTCAAGTGCAAAATCAACATCATATTCTTATCTTTTCGCTTTAATGAATACTCTATAAATATAATTATAAATACATACTTATATAGATATACAATTATCTGAATTTCATTCCCAGAATTATAGCAGACCCATAAAAAAGCTATCGCATCGTGAACACATCAACATTTTCAAAAATGAAATTGTCAAAAATACATGTACATTTTTTTATGTATGTTTTTTTCAGAGACATTGAAATTACTGTTAGGAATGGTGAAAAACACAGCCCCATTCAATTCAACAGGACACCCTGCCCTCACCATTAACGCTGGATTTAGTGAGGGGCTTCCGTGTGGGATGATGATTGTGGGCAAAATGTTCGATGAAACCACAGTTTTACAGGTCGCCAGAGCCTACGAGAAAATTCGGGATGGGACATGATTTTGAGTGAAGTGATGCACAGATGCAAAAAAAATAATCAAAGTTTCGTTTCATCGTTATGGATTTCTTTTTTAGTATAAAATATATATGTAGATGAATATTCAAGATGTATCTTAGCTGTTTTGTACATAATTTTAACTCTTCAACTACAACTTTAGGTTAATTCTCATATAGGAGATACACATAATACATGTACAATTGTATAATAAATTAAAAAAAAATTGAAATGCCTTAAGTAGTTCTCTTATTTTTAATAACAAAGGCCTGTTCAACAGAGCGAACGTTCGCGAGCGCTCGCCAAAATTCCAAAATTCTCCAACAGAAATGTTCGCGAGCGCTCACTCTGTTGAACAGGCCTCTGAATTTGATGTGTGTAATTCTGTTGAAATGGAGACCATCAAAATAAACTTTTACATAGATGTCAACTGGTCTTTAACGCTTGACATGACAATGTAAAGAAACATTAATTCTCCTGACAGTTATTTTCCCAAAATTTAAATTAAGGTTGAAAATCTATATACAACAGTTATGTCTATCAAAATCCGAATTTAACCTAACTTTATAATCATTCTGATACACAAAAATGCTATTGAAAATTAATTGATGGGCTAAAAAATGTAAGATATTTTTGTATTATCTTGTTTTATCGCTACCTTTACATAGAGATTTAATAACTGAAAATGCCCGGGGGGGGGGGGTCTGGACCTAATCTCTCCCCCCCCCTCCCCCCATCCTCGAATGCTAGAATATTCGACTAGGTCAAAATTTTAAATATTTGTTTAGCAATATATGCAGATACTGCTGTATAAGTTTGAATCATGAATTAAATCTTTTTCGAACATTAATTATTATTATTTGAGCGAAATTTTATAGGAATCATTGACCTTTAGGTATATATAGTATGAATGAAAAGAAGGATGGTACATTAATTTAAGCCTTTAAGTGATATTATATAAATATTATGTATGTAGAGAATAATACATCACCCTTTTCCATATATCATATCCTGTATCAGCCCGAGACACCAATATCAGCCAGAGGACTGATATTGGTCGATTGCGAGGGCTGATGCAGGGTGTGATGTGGAAAAAGGTACATGTATTATTATGTTTATTACATACTTAATTATAACATACAGCACGCATTTACTTGAGATAATATAAATAAATAATCATACACTATTTTATTATATCAAAGGACAGTCACATTTATTTAAACTAAGATAATGTGAACCAAAAAAAGTCTATTAAATTTATCACAAGAACTTTTTAGGTGTTAACTACAACGGGTGTAAAATAAATACTATCAGCCCTGCAGGATCTGTATCAGCTGGAAGGTGATACGGCTATTGTGACGTCAATTTTCTATTTGTATTGTATAATTTTACATTTGTATTGTAAAATTTTCCATTTGTATTCTATAATATTTCATTTGCATTGTGAAATTTTTCATTTGTATTCTATAATTTTTCATTAATTTTGCATTGTAAAATTTTTATTTGTATTCTATATTTTACCATTTTGTATTGTTAATTTTTTATTTGTATTCTGTATTTTTCCATTTGTATTGTTAATTTTTTATTTGCATTGTATAGTTCTCCATTTTTATTGTATAATTTTTTATTTGTATTTTATGGTTTTTATTTCTATTCTATTATTCTCCATTTGTATTGAATAATTTTGCATTTGTATTAAAAATTATACAAAAAAAATGGAAATTTATAGAATCCAAATGGAAAATTATAGAATACAAATGGAAAATTATGTAATAGTTACAAATAAAAAATTATAGAATACAAATGGAAAAGATATATGGACATGCCATATAATACTAAGTATGTTATAAAAGTTCGGAAATTATTTTCTCGGTAACTGCCGTAACTGAAAGGGCAAAGGACATTTTAGCCGAATTGCAGAAGGTGTGCCGGAGTGGACATTTTAGCGGAAGAAAAATTAGGTACCTGGAAAAATTCATTTGGGCATTAATTTTAGTGGTTTTTTGTCTCAAGTAAATTTAATTCTTTGTAAAGAATCAATGTAAAGTCAGCAAATATTGATCAATTAATTACTAACTTACCAACTCTAACGGAGCTGTCAATGGCACAGGTAAAAACAAAACTCAACCCATATTCATATAGGGAAATACATGAAAACAGGGTAGAAATGATGGAATACATACACCAGAACCTGTTTCTTAAAGATTTTTGGCAAAGCCCGTATTCAAACTAAAAGTTCTTCCCAGACCATTCTCATTCAAAATCCTATTCCTGTCTCCCTGTTGGTGGGCAGGGGACTGGATAAAAAAAATATATGTATATATTTTAGTGAATTTTGCGCTAAAATGTCCGCATCTTATTTCTAAATCGTCTATAAAGTCTTAAATATCTTTCGTTAAATAAATGTCCAACACCGATTGCAAAAGACCACGGTACTCGTGGAGATTTAAATTATAAAGCGTGTAGGGACCTGCGCATGACTGCCTACTATCATTTATAAATAATGTCGGTCAAAGAAAAAAAAGGTAAGTTTATTGCACAGCTTCTTCACAATCTAAAGGTTTTGTGATACCGTTCCTCTGCACTAGGTGTACAGGAAGGATATTACAAAAGCTTGATTTAAGACTAGGAGAGCGAAATAAATTTTCCATGTTGTTTGCCATATATATAGCATAAGAAAGTCACAGTTTAATTTTGACGTGGTAAAAATAAATCATTTAAGGGGGCCGACTGGGGTTTTAATTGCGCAATACTTCGCGCAGCATAGTAAAATAAAGCGTATTTACTCTTTTAAAGCAATCATTTTTACATAATTTATAAAAATTAACAAATTTAGGAAATCTCGGGTTTAAAAATCTAATTACGTTTTTAAATAACTGATTTTTTAAACGATTTTTTAAATGATGGGTAGATATACGTCGTAATAGTGAGTTTTTGACGTTATGAATAACCGAAGTTCTTTAAGCAGGGTCATTAAGGACATTGGCAAGTCAGGGTTTTCCGGAGAAAAAAGGTTTAATACATGGGTTTTTTCGCTTATAAAATAGTGATTGAGAGTGATCTCCCGTGTAGAATTCTCTAAGCGGTGAAAACCAATAAAGCGTATTTCACAGAGGTAAACATAAGCACGTGTACCTCCTTCAACGGGTAGAATCATCTATACAGCAAGAAAGAAAAGCTGTAATGGCTTTGTTGTACATTGTATTCAGGGACAAAGAGCCAACAGGTCATTATTTACCATAGTTATGCTCAGTGTGCTGGAAAGGGCAAAGATGTGACATATACTGAAAGGTAGGTCGACCATGCCGACTGAGAACAGTTCTTAGGTCATGTGAAGGAATCGGCATTTAGTAACTACGAATAAAAGTTAAAAATAAATCCATGACAATATTTTTATGACAATGTGTTTCAATTCAGTCAATTACATGATAAAACAATCAACCAGTCTCTTGACCAATTTTAGCTGTAAAGGGACGCAACTCAAAAATAATGATCGGTGCCGGTATATCCATGTCTTGTTTCTAAATATACATTTTTAGCCAAAATATCTAGAAGTCATAGGAAATGAAGATACAATAATGTATATAATACAAAAGCTGTATGAAATAAATGGGTTTTGAAGAAATATTATGGTGAAAAATTATGTAGGTCCCTTTTATCAACATTTTACATAGGAAATGCATTAAGAATTGTGAAAACACTAATTTGACAAAATCTAAAAAAGAATGATGGATTGGTAGGTAAAACGATCCAGAATATAGCCTGTTTAGTACATTTAAACCTACTCAAAAGTTCTTGAAAAATTCTATACAATAACCAGGAACCTTGCCAATGTCCTTAATAATGCCATAAAATAAAGAGTACAAAATACATGCTCTTGAAATTTTAAACATAAGAAATTGAGAATCTATCAATCATTTTTATTATTTTTTTAATGTAAATCTGTGGTATCTGTCATGTTTTGTTGTACTCCATAAAAAGAGGAAATTATCAAGAATTTTGACATTTTGAGATGTTCCCTCTAGAAACCAGACGGTAGAATTTTGTGTTTCTTGCACAAAATTTACAATAAAGTATTACCCATCAAATAATATAATATGAGCAAAAAGTCTGTAGTAGCATTTGTATAATTTGCTCTAAAGTGCGAAAAAATGGTATTTTCCTATATAATCCTATATAAATGTACTGTATTTTGAGATGGTCCCTAAAAATAACCAGATGGTAGATTTTCACTAAACTTGGCCTGTATATCGAAGTCAATGTAAGGTACATATGGTATAAAATTAAAGAGTTTCTCTATAGTAGTTTTCACACAATAAAACCCCAGTCGGCTCCCTTAAATGGTGTTATTTATAGAACTTCAGAAGAGTCCGGCAATAGTTCGGCTATCAGAGGATGACGTCAAAACAATTGCTGAGGATCTCAGACTGAAACTCACAACAGAGGAAACCAGCGCAGTTCACGGTATATATATAATTATACATACAGCAATTCCTGTCTCTACTTTTTAATAATTGAAATTTATTTTAACTTATCAGAAATAAATGAAACAGTTACATGTAAATATAGATAAATAGCACACATGGATATCTAAAAATATTAAAAGGTAATAACCGTAAATAAGCATTTTTCCTTTTTTGATATACATAAATCAGTCTTTCTCGGTAACCATGTTAACTCAGTCGAATTGCTGTCTTGGCCAATCACTAACTTCTGAATGATAAGAGATAAACATATATATTGGAAATATGAAATGTAATATTTGTTAATAATAGGAATGTCAGTCTCAAAACCAGATGTACAGGACACCCCTCCGATTTTTTCCACAAGGTACCTAACTCGATTTCTTAAGGTTGTCCGATCCTTAGGTTCTGAAAATCAACAGTTAATTAAGTAATTGAAAATGCTCACAAAAATGTCTCTGAATTTAAAGAGTAATGACTGTGATTGATTGATTGATTGATTGTATGTTGTTTTACGTCCCATTCGAGAATTTTTCACTCAAATAGAGATGTCACCATTTGCTGGTAAAATGCTTCAAATTCAGAACCTTTACTCGGCATTCAGAGACATTGAGCAGTGAGGGTCCTTTATCGTGCCAACGCCTATCGTGACACGGGACCTAGGTTTTTAAGGTCTCATCCGAAAAACCCTGACTTCCACTTCTAATGCCGGGCGCTTGGTGAATGAACAGTCACTACCTATATTTACGTCTTAGGTTTGACAAGGCGCAGTGAACAGGAATCGAACCTGGGTCCCCGATAACGAAGTTATTGAACTTATAATGGTGAATATTGTCACTCGTTGGCTGTAAAAATGCACGTGCTTATGAGCGTATTTTTGCAGCCATCAATTACTCTAGTAGTTCAATAAAGTTCAAATCTCCTTTGTTATTTACTAGCTAAATCACTATTCATTTTCTTTTTAAAATTTTCTTAATATATTATATTAATATTCTAAAGGAAATAACTCATATTTGATGTGAATTGTCCAATTATTGTTTCTACAGTACAAGTGAAAAAAAAAATAAGTGAAAATTGAAGTAATTTTTTTTTAAATGCATCTAAACCAATCAGATTCTAGCTTTTAAAACATGAAAACATAATGATAATGTACTTCTCAAATTATATGCAGTATGTACTTCGCAATTTTTAATGATCCTGAATGTAAATGAAATGACCAAACCCGGTTCTTTTAGCATTCTTTGAGTTAGTCTAAGATTTTGATGTAGACACAGTAATGGTAAAAGTAATCGGGTCAAAATCTCTTAACACCTTGAACTTTAATTAATTAGCAATACGCTGAAAGATCATTTTCTCAATGTAGATTTTTGTGGGGGTATTTCCAAAGCTTACCAGAAGGTTTATGAACTCGTTCCACCCACCCCAACCGTCAAATACCCAAGGACTCCGGGTTACAGGGAAACCGAGGACAAATCTTGGTGAATCTACTGTATTCCTAGCAAAATTCTAATATATAGTCTTCGTTTTTTCTTTTACAATATGTTATGATGAGTTCCAGTTACATATGAAATATTGTGCAATTAACATTTCTAAATGTTTTGTTAAATATCGACAAGGTATTACCGTTGTGACATTAAAGGAGCCGAGAGAGGACTTCTGTCGGGGAAAACTGTAGCAATCAAAGACAATGTGTGTGTAGCAGGGGTTCCCATGATGAACGGAAGTAAATTACTGGAGGGGTTTGTACCCGACAGAGATGCAACAATTGTGACACGGATACTGGATGCAGGTATATGGAGAGAGAGAGAGAGAGAGAGAGAGAGAGAGAGAGAGAGAGAGAGAAGCTAAGATATTGTAGAAATATTCCAAAAAGTTACAAATAGTATACGTTAGGAACACAGGCACTTGAATTTCTTTTTTTTTCAAATATGTAACCTCCTCCGTAAAAAATCACAAGTTTGGGTGTTAATAGTATATTCTTTGAGATAAGAAAAAAATAATGTAACGTCAGGTGCCTATTGTTGGGTATGGTAAAACAAATAGTGTTACGGTCGACAATTTTGCATACTTTTGACAGTGCGATGTTTTCGTATAAAGATTACGCATATGGTGTTTTTTTTTTTTTTCAAATTGCTTTTTCAGGAATGTTATCCATTGCTCATAGCTAGGTCACTATTCTTCCTTTATGACAGGAGGTTATTTTTTTCTCACTATTCTACAACTTTTTTTTCCAATTTTGCCTATCAATCACCATTATTTTTTATAAGAAAGCAAAAGACGCTTCTGCAGGTGGGATTTCTTACGTTTGAACTTTTATACGCAAACTTATGAAACAGATCGCAATGAATTTGTGAAATTGAACTTTCTTTTTTACTACTTCAGGTGGACGAATAGTCGGTAAATCTGTATGTGAGGATATGTGTTTCTCCGGAAGTAGTTTCACGACATCATATGGACCAGTAGGAAACCCCTATGATCAAACGCGGTCTGCGGGTGGATCCAGCTCAGGTTCAGCTTCTCTGGTAAATAAACAGCTTATCAGTTACAATCTCGACCTATAAACACTAGTACACAAAGCTGTATTAGTTTCTTTTAGAAATACATTTGCATTGTTCAACAGAACAAGATCTGTTGGCATAACGGTGCTGACACAAATACTTCCCATCGAGTTAGGTTGCCAGAAATATTGTTGATGTAGCGATTGGAGGGGACCAAGGCGGATCTATTCGGATCCCGTCAAGTTGGTGTGGAATTGTTGGATTAAAACCGACCTTTGGGTTAGTTCCTTATACCGGTATAATACCAATGGAAATCACTATTGACCACGCGGGGCCAATGGCCAGGACAGTGAAGGACTGTGCAATTCTGTTAGAGGTACAGTAATTTACCTTCAGCGAAAATAAGACCAGTAATATAATATATATTATTGTATGACATTATCCTCAAAACCTTGTTAACATAATTTAATTTTTACAGGCGATTGCTGGATATGACAACGGTAACGATCCACGACAGTTTCCAACTATATCAGTTCCTCCATATTCAGAACTGGTAATGTTCTCACTGGGTTATGCAAATGCCCAATACTATTGCTAGTGTTGCAGTAAGGGATTTTCATTGAAATGTAAATTTTCATCCAAATCTATAAATTAAGGTATATACTGTATATTCGTAGATATACGAGGGCAGTTAAAAAAAATACTGTAATATATATATATATATATATATATATATATATATATATATATATATATATATATATATATATATATATATATATATATATATATATATATATATATATATATATATATATATTAGGGATGGCAATTTGCAACCGGTTAACCGATTACTCGGTTGGAACGATGGTAATCGGTTAGAAAATCTGTAATCGGTTAGTCGGAAAAAATAAAATATATGTAAATTTGAACGCAATTTTCTTAAAATTTATTTCTAAAAAAGAATATATATATATATATATATATATATATATATATATATATATATATATATATATATATATATATATATATATATATATATATATATATATATATATATATATATATAAAAGGTTAACAATGAGATAAAGGGAAAGAAGGTAGCCATTCTCAAGGAAGGTTTTGAAGGAGCAGAGGAGGATGTAGCAAAAATCGTGAGTGAGGCGGCTTATAGACTGAGAGAAGCTGGGGCTGAAGTCACAGAAGTTTCTTTACCCATTCATAAAGATGGTAGGAATTTATTTAATGCTCAATCCTCCCTCAACAAATCAATATAATCCTGCCTTCTGCTCCCGTTTGAAATGTCGAGGTATCTTTTTGTGTTGTTTAATAACTCTTTTATAAATTAATAAGTTAAATTAGGTTATTCTTTATTTTTTATATAAAGGGAGAACAGAAATTTATTATATGCTTTTTATCATTCTTTTTTTTTTATCAAAAGAAATATACAGACCCTAAAACGTGCTACTACACCACTTGCACGGTTCGGTTCGTTTCGCTTTGTGTACGGTTCGGTACGTTTCTTGCACGGAACGGTACGCTTTGTGAACGGTACGGTTCGCTTTGTGCACGGTACGGTACGCTTCTTGTACGGAACGGTTTGTTTTGTGTACGGTACGGTTCGCTTTGTGCACGGAACGGTTCGTTTTGTGAACGGTACGCTTTGGTGAACGGTATGTAAATTAAGTGGGCGGAGCCTGTACGCTTTAGTTTATGATTGGCTACTTCATGAAGTCGTTTATTTCTTTATTATAATTTCTTTATTTTATATAAATGGAAGGACGGTATCGCAAGCATTTTTAATAAGTTGTTTTTAATTAGTCAAAGCTGTTATAAATATTTCCTTTTTACAGCTGTGTTTTCGTTATTACATGTAACTAGTCGTCTTATTAACTGTATCTTTTTTAATTTACTTTCTGTATTCGAACTACTTTCAATTTTTGAAATTAATAATTTTAGCTGTCTAGTTATTTTTATTTTTTTACACCATCTCCTTATGGTTCAATAACTTTGAAATAGATCGAACATATCAACAAACACTGCATAACAAGGATGAAAAAAATATTTTGGTTGCGTCGCCATAAAGGCCTTTCTGTAATTTTTTTAAGAATAATCGTACATATATTTTTTATTTCCTTTCAATTTTCCTAATTGAATACAATTATTAGTTTAAATATTCACTTATCACAGTTTTAAACAAATGAGTTTTATTTTATAAATCCCTCATGCTCCCATTTCGTCTACCATTCTTTTTACATTCTTGCCGCTGTTGCTTTATTAAAAAAAAAAAAAAAAAAAAAAAAAAAAAATTTCTCTTGACCGAATGATCAAAGAAACAATTAAAAAATAAGTTATTGTTTTCATATTAATTTGTGAGGAATTTTATTTCATTATTTTTTTTACATAGATTGCTTAGGTGTTTGGCTCACTAGGAAAAATACATTGAAAAGTAATCGGTAGAAGTGCACACAATAAGTGCAAAAAATAACTTAATTTTTGTGCGCGTAATTGTTTTCCTTTTTATATAAGTTTTCCATCAATGTGTAAAAATGCTTTTTAAAGGGAAGTTACAATCGAGAAAACGGTTAAGACAGCTTCAATTCCATCTACAATGTATAAATGTATATTAATATATATTGACTGCAAAGAAAGATTTCCGAAATAAATAATATGTCAAAATGTTAGAAATAAATAGTCCGTTTTTAATTACCTAGAAGATAAATAATATGCAGCCATGTATGTCCTTGAAAACTTTGAAAATGAATAACTTGCCCATGCCGGGTGCTACCCCCCCCCCCCCCCCCCTTTGTTTCCTTGTCAAACTCAAACTTTTGTATTGAAGATCTAGAAAAAAAACTGTCTGCACATGAAATCCTACTTATCTGCTGATTAAAACTGGTGGGTTCATTGTTGTAGACTTACTGTATAAGACAGCAAACTGTTGATACAAGTGTGAATGTAGGCATATTTGGACTAACGGGATTAGATACGGTTCAATATACACAGTTTAAGTTTTTACCTGTGCACGTGTGGTGACAATACTTGTTCGAAATTTTCAAATGTTTTAGAGTAAATAACGAAAGTATGGAAAGACGTCTTTACGTGTAAATTCCAGGTAACATATTTTACCTGCAGGTTTCAGTGAATAAAGCAAATGAAATGGGAAAATACTTTAAATAAAAATTAATTCTGACATATATCCATTTTTTTTTTTTTTTTTTTTTTTTTTTTTTTTTGATTACGTGTATTAAACTGAAAATTCTATGCGAAAATGTGGCGATCGAACCTTTTGACAGTATGTTATATTGGCGATAACATCTTAGGTTGGTCAGAAGAGTGTAAACCAACACATACATCGCTTTTATTTTTTTCTATTGATTGAGAGGCGTTTACATTTGAACATGTCCGGTTTCAAATTGACAATTTAGTTTCGTAATTTTTTTTTTTTTTTTTTTTTTTTTTTTTTTGTAATCATTTCTCCCTAAAACTATTACTTACATGAATAAAAAATGAAACTAAGGGCTTGATTTCGGAAAATAGCACAGAATCCTAATACATTTTTCAATTTGTCTTGGTTTCCGAGAACGTCCATAGAGACAAGAATAGGGTAGAGTAAAGCTATAGAAATAAACGATAAAGTACTTAATTCACTTTTATTTATTATAAATTGTACACGAAAATATTACGATGCTGCATTTAATATGAAAAAAAGTTAGTCAAGCACAACCCGATCATGCATAGCGAATAAGGAATCGCCTCACACTCTGTCGAGTTGTTTTGAAGTCGTAATTAGTTTTGAGTAGTTTCCTTATATTAACAGATGTAAGTCAAGATGCATGGTACTAAATAATAATATTTTGAATATCTAAGTTATTTTCCATCCTTCTTTAAGGGGCGCTGCGTCGAAAGAAATAATAAAAAAAATTACTTCCTGTAATAGGTCACCGTAAGATCGGGGCGTGGCTTGCATAATTATTTCAAAAATTATTCATGAACGGTACGGTTCGCTTTGTGCACGGTACGGTACGCTTCTTGTACGGAACGGTTCGTTTTGTGTACGGTACGGTTCGCTTTGTGCACGGTACGGTACGCTTCTTGCACGGCACGGTTCGTTTTGTGTACGGTACGGTACGCTTCTTGCACGGTACGGTACGGTTCGTTTCTGAGGTGTAGTAGCACGTTTTAGGGTCTGTAGAATGAAAGAATATGGAGATAACGAACAGTAATCAAGCCTAAAGTCCATTAAATCAATATTACTGCAAATCAAGAGCAGAGCAAACACGGACCTCTAAAAAGCATCAAAGATGGGATCAGGTGACATTGGGGAGTAAGCATCCCCTGTCGACCGGTCACATCCGCCGTGTGCTCCTTGTCATGATCGGGCAAATGGAAAAATCCGTAGTTGAATAAATGAATTGCTTATTCAAAATTATATTGCTCCAAACATTCCAGTCATTGCAGCAATGAAAGAAATGTTACTTCTTTATAGAGTGTACTTAGGTTTTGCACAACCCTCTTTTTTCAATTACAAAATGCTCTCTGTTTGAACATACAGGTGTGGCCATTTGGACGCCAGTTAATATTGAAGGGGCATATCAAACATTGATGAAAGGAAATGGTACGTTTTCTTATTTTTTTAATGGGCACTACAATACTAGTATACGCGACACAGTGGTTTCTAAAATAATTTTAAAAATGATTCTTAAAGATAATTATTATCTATTGAACGTCAATTTTTCCCTTTAATTTACTCACAGTTGTGGATGGGAAAGCAGTCAATTGTAGATACTTTAAGAGGCATTCTCTGTAACGACTTGAACATTTATATAGGAGCTGTGGCACGCATTGTCTCTGAATTTCTCCAAACTCTCTATGATAAAAGTCTTTGATACCTTTAACTCAAATCAAGCAGAAATTGGTTGCTACGTGTCATGGTTACCATGGCAACATGTCCTAAAGTTTGAAAAATGGCATTTTTCAACATGTTCAGAATCCCACAGTTAACGTTTGCATCAAAGCAAACAAGTGGCAATGATAGTTTCTGAAAGTTGAAGGCCTGATGTCTTAAATGCATGATAAACATGTTTGGTAAATCAACTATTACATACGTTACAATGGAAACAAAGTATTCAAAAGTAATAATTTTGCTCATTTAATTTTATAAAATCATACACTTAAGAATAATAAAAATTATAGGTTGAACTGCAAGCAAATAATAGACAAAAGATCCTTGTAACATATACCAAGGAAGAAATATGATATTCTTACAGATTGGCAATGGTTGCCATGATTTAATTCCAAGAAGGGATTTTAAATTTACTCTCTTAATGTTTAAATCTAATCCTATCTTTTTAAAAAGCATATTTCTATACAAATAATGATCAATTTTTAAAGATGTTCATGTGACCCTAATTTTCACATTTCAAAAAATTCAAATTCAATTCTTTAAATAGAGCGTTGCTATGGAAATATGCCGAAAAAATATGCATAAAAATCTGAAAAATATTCTGTTTCCTTAGATACGTACCTTTGTAAACAACTGGTACATTGTTTCCATGGTTACACTGCAAAGTAACAATTAATCCCAATTTTTCTTATGTTGTCGGTGTTGCAAGGTCCTAAGGATGAATATGTGCCAGTCATGAAATTTATTGTTTTTCCTGAAGATAGCAGCATTAACACAATCTTAGCAACACATTTTGCATGGTAACACTGTGTTACCATGGCAACCATGAAAGTTATTTTTAGAATAATATTGCCAATACCTAATTACTTAAGGTCAAATATTTTTATTCTTTTTTCTTAGGTTGTTGATTGAGTCTGATCATTTAAAGCCTATCACTGGTGAATATTGAGCGTTTTTCTGCATTTTTCAGCATCTAAAATGTATTCCAAATGTTACCACTTACTTAGAGATAAATTCTAAATAGTTTCTTTATAGCATAAGTGGCAACAAGGTGTCAGGTTTTTGTGAGAAAGGTTTGTTTGTTATTCTTAGTCTTTATTAAGGCTTAATAAAGATTCAAAGTAGCTGAAAATCTCAATTTTTCTAACTTTTCTGGCTGTTACCATGGCAACTAAGACACATAGCAACGAAATTTTATTTGATATATGTTTCTGGTGTCAAGTTGTAATAATGGGCAAAGTTTCATCAAAATCGGTGACCATGCGTGGCAAAGAAGTTTTAAAAGTGGTTACAGAGAATCGCTGTTAATATGTACTTTTGTTGTATATTACTGGGCTATCTCTTCAATGACTTGGATAAAAAAACAAGATTCCAGAACAACTGAGTTATACATTTCAATAAAGTTGTAAATTGTACACATGCACATTTACCGTTAATTTCAGAGGAAGATCCATGTTAGAGTAAAAACATGAAAGTTTCTTATTATTTCTATGGTAAACAAGACTTTACCACAGGAAATCATTACACAAAGTTTTTACTTACTAAGTAAATTAAAGTACTAAGTAAATTAAAGTACTCATATCAAAGATTTTACTATAGTTACATGTAATCAAAGTTCAAGAGTTCGAAGATTCAGATTCTGTATAGTTAATCAAAGTACAAGTATATATAATATAAGATGTAGTAAAAATAAGTATATAAAACTTGAAACAAGCAATAAATACAGAACCATTGCATCTTGTCAGGTAATACATATAACGTATATTGTAAACTCATCCAATAAATTTAATGTTTAAGGTCATGGATATAGCTGGAAAGGAACCTACAACCTTCCATTACAGGAAGCTTTGGCTGGAGCTTTTAATCTCCGCCCATTTGACTGCCCCCTACCGGTCAAAATATTTATGATATTTTCTGAGTTCATGCAGAGGAACTATCAAAACAAATTTTACGCCAAGGGACAGAACCTGATACAATATTTGACAAGCGAGTATAATAGAATCCTGAACGATTATGACGTCATGATTCTGCCGACGCTTCCAGGAAAGCCTATAAAACTTCCTACAACAGATATCTCTGTTAGAGGTAAAAAAAAAAAAATAGAGAGAGAGAGAGAGAGAATTAGGATTTCGAAGATCCATTTTAAATACCATTTTAGTTCTTTTTAAAAACAATAATATATGCATCAAGTTACATAAAAATTTTTAACCAGTAGATTACTTACACGAGATCAGGTAAATGAAAGAATGTTATAATTTAAATTCAAATTTAGATGGTTTAAGGTTAAGTTTTGCACTTTGCAAATATCCAGCAAAATCAACTCAATTTGTTCCCGTAAACTTGTTACAGTATTACTTCTATCAACATAAACTTGATGATAATTTTGTATTTTTTATTTTAGAAACATTAAGACTTTTAGGAATGTTACGAAACACAGCCCCATTCAACGCCACAGGACACCCTGCCCTCAGCATTAACGCCGGATTTAGTGAGGGGCTTCCGTGTGGGATGATGATTGTGGGCAAAATGTTCGATGAAACCACAGTTCTACAGGTCGCCAGAGCTTACGAGAAAATTCGGGATGAGACATCATAACATAACAGATGACTCAGTCTATGATTTATTGTGATGCACACAATGTTCCAAGATATGTAAAGATGTTTCATCGTTACGGATTTCTGATTTAAGATATTGATGGAATATTAGTATGTTTCATTAGCCAAATCTTATGGAATATATTGACCTTATTTGAAATATTTTTTTTAAATACAATTTCTGTTTTTTAGAATAAATATGTGATTCTTCATACAAATGAATATTTATACTGTATTTTAAAAAATATTGCCAAAAAAGTATATTGAATCATAGCATTTGAAATGCGTTGATTTGACTTGGATATATGTCAAAATTAATGCTTGTACGCATGACATCAGAAGTGTTTCAAAGAGAAATTGAAGAATTATATTCCCATATTTGTTTAGCCTTCTTCCCGTAGTTTAATCAATAGGTAGCAATATATATATATATATATATATATATATATATATATATATATATATATATATATATATATATATATATATATATATATATATATATATATATATATATCATATTCATTTTGTAACTGTCTGAAAAGACATGGGAAAATACAATCTACTATGCAGAGTAGATCTATTTCGGACTTACTTACCTTAAAAGATAAACATTAGCTCAGGGATTTAATTAAATGAATTAAAGCAAACGCACTATTTATCGTGCTTATTACTGTGATATACGCGAGTCAACGACATGCAGAGGTGAATGTATGAGCCGATGGTAGAGAGTGGAGGGAATGATTATCAAACATACAAAAGTTTTCATCATATCTGTCTTATTTAAGCGAAATTGATATTGACCTTCTGCAATTGTTCTATATGTTTTGAAAGTCTAACAATGCAGAGGGGCTACAAACAAATCCATGTAAATCTCAATGCGACGTTCCTCTGGAGAGTTTCACCATGAAAATTGGCCTATGTCTCGCAAATAATTGTTTTTAAATTTAATTTCTGATCAATTTTCATGTGCATGTGGCTGAACCAAATTACATATATTCCAGTCTGATTATTCATCTTTCAGAACATAGTCAGGACATAGTCGCAAAGTAAACCAATACTTTTTGGTAGATTAATTGTCTATTCAAGGATCAGTCAGACACTCTGAAATTTACGCAATCTATACATCTGTGTGTAACACTGGCCTTTCTTAGTCTTTGAAGTATACTTAATAAGTTATTTTTGTCTCATTTTTATTTATCTGTTATTTACAAATCTACCTGATCATTAAAACTATGAAAATAATTTTTATTATACAATAAAAATTCTTGCATAATTCTCTTATTCTATTAACCTTTCAAATACATTATTAACAGTAATTAATTATCAAAAGTGAGTGGCAAAGGGGAATGACTTCTCTCAGTAGAATACAAATTAATAGAGTCCTGGCCAGGACCAGAACACTGGACCATATGGTCCGGATGTTTAAAAATCTGGTAGAAATACTCTTGCTTCTTAAACTTTTGCTCTGTTTGCCTCCGATATGCACTGGAGCAGAGATTTTCAAAGAAATAATGCATTTTTACTACAGACTCAAGACAGCTTTACCCTAGCACCAGAACCCATAGCCCATACATTAACAAGATATTAAAAGAATTAAAGCATTTTTACTATGTTATCAAAAGACACCCATCCCCCTCGAGAACCCCTGACCCTGGGACTACAAACGTTTTAAAATTTGTAAGAAGCACTGTTGTTCTTTAAAACTATGCACTTTGTTTATTTGCTCAACACTAAGGAGCAGACACTGAGGAGAAGACAGGGTTATTTAATAGAATTAATGCATTTTCACTACATTATCAATAGAGTCCCACCTTTAACGAGAAAATCTGACCCAGGGATCATAAAAATCACAGTTCTGGAAGAAACAAGCTTGCTCATCATAACTAAACACTTAGTTTCTTTGCTATATAATCAGGAGCAAAAAATATTTTCGAAGAAATTATGTTTTTTTCATTATACTATCAATAGAGCCCTTTTCACCAGAAATCCCGACCCTGCGCCATGAATTTTACAATTTTGGGAAAAAAAACACCTTTGCTTTCATAACCGTGCACTTAGTGTGTTTCAATAATACCCAGGAGCAGAGAAGAAGATTTTCAAAGAAATAATGCATTTTCACTATATGATCCATAGAGTGCCGCCATAGCACCTGAACCCCTGTCCCTTAGGCCATGAATTTCACAATTTTGATAGTGGACTCAATGCTTATTACAATCATGTCATGTTCATAATTTTTGTTCCCCTTCACCCATAGATGCTATCTGCCAAAATAGCTTCAAATTGGTATAGCGGTTCCAGAGAAGAAGTTGAAAATGTTCAAATGTTAACGCACATCTCACGACAGACGATGTACGGCGAAAGACAAAAACGGATAGCAATAGGTCACCTGAGTAACTTAGGTGACCTAAAAAGCAAAACAACAAACAACGAAAAATTCCATTTTGAAATTGCAGTTTCTGTATGGTGCGAATGTGCTTTTAATTACATCATTCACTATGATGGTTTGAAACATTTCTAATTACTCAATATATGTCAAGTACTAGTTGCTGACCATTAATTAATTTGAAAACTTGCTCTGGCGACAGTTATGCATAAAAAAATTTAAAAATATGACATAAAATAACTTTTTTGTTAAGGTAAATATAACATTTTGTAATTTGTACTAATAGACTGCAAAACACCCCCGAATTCTGGTTAGATAATTGTATAGACTTCAAATGTATTTGAAGGTCACTCCAAAGGCCAATCTCAACTCTCTTCAATTGTCAGATGCATATTAATTTTCATACGATATTCTGTGGCTTGTATGTGTCCCGTAGAACTCGCATTTAATCGACCGGAATGTTCAGAACAAGGTAGAGTTCATGTTGGATATTAACAAATGTCAAAAAACAGGTATCGGGGAAAATATGCCTGATTTTCATTTTCTCTCTAAATCGTTGAAAATAACGTCATTTACATCACAGCATCTTATCAACTGATCACAGGCTTTTTTTCTGAGTTGAAGTTTGCATCAAACATGTAAGATATTTGTTGAGCATATTTATAGATACATGTGTCTGCATCATAATTTCAGAATGATTGATCAAACTCTGAAACTTCTTGTTTTGTAGCTTTCATCCAGAGTCCAATCTTATACAATCATCTTTAGGTTAGCTTTGCATTTCTTTGCTATACATATACTACTGATCAAACTCACTATTATGGAAAGTATTATCCAAACTTTTTATAGGGATATGATTGTTTCATTGCAAAATACTGAGGGATGTAGTCTTTTATGATAACTTTCAGGTAAATGTCAGTTTGACTACTATATTTATGCATATTTAAAGTTACACTTTGTAATCCCCCCAAAACCTTAATGTTTCAATAAATTTACTCGTATTAAGAAAGATATCTTTTCATATAAAATTACAAGATATGTTTTCTCAAAGACTGCATAAGGCCACCATACAATGTAGTTTTAATGATTTGATGTCCATACACCTGTGCATGATTTGCAAACGTTTCAGTCTGCTTTTATTTCAGAGATAAAGAATGTCGGTCAAAGACGACAAAGGTGGGTTTTTATTTATACAATGTTCTTTAAAGTATTATTCCCAGTGTACCATGTACATAGGACATAACATTTTGAATATTAGAATGTATTTGAAGTAACATCAGTATTCCTTCTGATGAGGGGCTGAACCGAACAGAAATTCCCGGACAAAAAAAAAAAAATGGAAAAAAGAAGGTCATTAATTGTTATAATGCAGAGAAAACATCGTTAGCACTGGTTTGTATTACATAGAATATATTAGAGTTATTACTTGGAGACACCCCAACCCGCCCCTCCTGGTAATACATTCACCTTTATATTTAATTTCATTTAGATCTTCTATTTATGAATGCCTTACATGAAAATTCACACCATCAGCTATAATGACAAATGGATCGTCACGTATATACTCTACATGTAAAGTTCTCCCCCTTTATCAATGAATTTTAGTCAGGCTACATATGTTTTGCTGGAAAGAGAAGGTTCTCTCAGTATTGCTGGATTCTGACATCATAATTAGTCAATAGCTTGTCAAAGGACCCCCACTCCAGGTATCTGAAGTGTTAGCAATTTGAGAGCTCGGAGGTTAAATATAAATTAACTGTCTCAACCCAGGTTACACTCGTACAACTTGGGTACTTTTAAATTAATTTCTTAAATGATGGTTCTATGTTGTGAAATACATATAGCGTATCTTAAAGTAAGTGAGAAGATGAAATCATAAAATGAAGACAGACAAAAGTAACATTTGATTTTGTTTTAGATGTGGAAAATCAACTTTATTTCAATGGTGTAACTTGTAAAACTACATAAGAGCTCTTTTTTTTTTTCTTATTTATTTCAAATAATCATGAAACTGCTTCCATGAAAACTATCTTTTATGCTTGCTTGTTACATGTACAAGAATAAAATTTTTAAAACGATTTCTGACTTTGTGTTATAATAAAAACTCTGTCTATTTTTTCAGAACTTCAGAAAAGTCCAGCGATTGTTCGGATTTCGGAAGATGACATTAGAACTATTGCTGCGGATCTCAGACTAAAACTCACAACGGAGGAAAGAAGTGCAATTTACGGTAATAATGTACATAAAGCAGCTGTGTCGACTTATTTCTTATTTCATACTTATAATAATTGAAAACTTAAATCAACAAAACGGAAATAAACAAATTTTTCACGGAAAATGGACCAGGATACACAAATCATCGGTCATAATTCGACACAATGACATATTACTAGTAATTGATTTGATTATACAGAGTATATATATACACTGGACAAAATAAGTTAAGGATCATGATTTATAAATTATTTAATTTACAACAAATAACAATATATTCCATTATAACTATATAATTTAAATCTTTAACAAGTAAACAAACAATTTTTATTGTGTTTATCAAAAATCAATGAAGCGTTAACGTGCATTGGGATTAATTGTCACACAACCCCCAAAACAGAATGAAAAACAGCCTTGGTAAAGGATGGAAAATTCAGACGTAACCGTTTGCGCGCAGTGATTTGATGTGTTCAATATGCTGTATGACCACCCCGTGCTTGA